TTTTCTAACAATTCTATCCCCTGATTAAAATTGTTTTCCTCAAGGTCTTCAAAACAGTAGTTTACTACTGTAATTGCATCTTCATTTGAGGTAAAACGCTTGCTAGCTAGGATTTTTTTTATTTGGGAGCAAGTAAAAGCCACTGGGAGCTAAATCAGGAGAATAAGATGGGTGATCAAGCAACTCGTAGTTTAATTCGTTGATTTTAGCCATTGTTTAAACCCTCTTGTGTGCTGGTGCATTGTCTTGATGAACCATTTTTTTGTGTTGTAAGTCAGGACGTTTTTCTCGAATTTGTACATTTAATTGATCCAAAAGGTTACAATAGTACTCGGAATTTATGGTTTTACTCTTTTACAGATAGACAATCAATAAAAGTCCCAAAAAACCATTGCCATAACCTTACCAGCCGATTGAATTGTTTTTGCCTTCTTTAGGGCACTTCCTCCAGCTTCAGTCTATTGTTTGGATTGTTTTTTGTCTTTATATAGTGGTGGATCCATGTTTCAGCAACAGTTATGAAACGACGCTTAAAATCCATTTTATTTCCAGCATTCCGTTAGCTAAAATGCAAAAAGGCGTAACTAAAAAAAAATTGAAAATTTATTTTTTGATATGAAGGAACACTTTCACCTAATAATTCACCATATCATTATTAATATCTTGTCCCGATAAACCTTTTTTATGTAAATATTTAATCACATAACGCATTTCTAATTTTTCCATTGTAAAAAAATTCGGATTCATCTTTTTTGAACATCTGTTTCTATATGAAGGATTTGCCGGATTGAAACAAAATGTAACATGTGTTCATAACGGAGATGGAAGTTTCCAAAACACTTATGTTAGGCTAAAAAGTCTCCGAACTGCCCTCTTAAATCTGAAAACATAACACACGCCATTTTACACGTATTTCGGTTTGATACACAGTGTCGAAATCAATGATTAAGCGGCGCAAATGAATGTCTCTTTTGGAGATAAATACCCCGACATATTTTTCATAATTATATGACTTTTGTTGCAACTTCGTTACTGTAGCATATAACCAAAGGTGTTTTTTGAGAGATGAGATTCACTGGAACCCTCATATAACTCCTAGCACAGAACATAGTGACGGTGACATGCTTACTTCCACATCCTTAAAGCTCGCCGGTATAAGGTAACTCCCATATAACGGTACCCCCATTATTTGGAATTTTGGCGATTCTAGACACACGAGAACGACGAGAATTTTTATTGTGTAAAGAATTATTTTTAACTAATTTTTTAATATTTTTTACATTATTTACAATCATACAAAACGGTGTTATTATTTGTTTTCAGGGGTAGGGCTCTAGAGTTTCCCCTTTTGTAAAATAGGAGCGTGGACAAAATGTTCGAAGAAGAGGAAGTCTTTACTCTAAGAGCGAAATCGACTGGAAATATAAAATTTATTTTTCCCGAGTTGTGTGTTCGTTTGTGTTTCTAGAGTAGCAAACGGGTGTCGATGTTGTTGTACTGATCTGGTCATATACCAAATTTACTTTATACAATAATACAAGTAGTTTGATTATTTAATATTTCACAAAAGGTCAAAATGACCACTTTTAGGCAATATAGGTATAGCACATATGAATACGGGGAATCAAAGGTAGCAGCTACTATGATTAATAAACGTAGTTCTAAGTGGTACAAAAAGTCACCAAATTTTAAAAAGCTGGGTCATAATATACACAATTGTTTTTGTACTTGAAATTGAAAAACGGTCAAAATGACTGCCCTCGGCAATCTAGTGTTAAAAAGATTCAGCTGTAATTAAGAATTGTTGATTCATGTTTGGTATTAGATCTGCCTACGAAAGCATATTATTTGAAAGCAGAAATTAAAATCCGATTTTCCTACCATTTTTATTAATTAATCTAAAACAAGTGAAAAAGCGTTAAGTTAGGCCGACCATAGGTATACTGACAGATACTAGAAATGAAAATAAAGGGGACATACCAAAAAGTAGACCTATACCGACAATTCTAAAAACGGATTATGTAAACCATAATACAAATTTCAGAATTTTTTAATGGATAATTATACTCTCAGCCTTATGGCTATTGAGGGTATATACATTTTAAAACGGTGAAAATGTGCCTCGTCGAAATATTGATTCTAGACCCCATGTTTCTTTGGACCAAATCCGATTCAGAAAATTTAAATTTCATCCAAACTTTGCCCATCTTATTATTTCCTCCAAACTTAGGTCAAATTCAAAGATGGGGATTATCGGTCCACTCCTTCTGGAACCTCCACACAGGGGATAGGCCTAAATGCGACTATAGTTCATTATCGAACCTTACTTCTGATTTTTTATCTCGCTATCCTCTGCAGGTGAAATGATTACAACAGAGTCTTAGAACCAAACTCAAAACGCGGAACAAATCAGATAACTATTTTTAATATAAAACCAGTAAGGAAAGTAGTAAAGTCGGACAGGGCCGACTATATGATACCCTTCACCACTTTGGGTATATTCAACAGATGAATCCCAGCAGACGTCGCATTTTTAAAGGACCAGTAAAATGAATTTGGATCCATAAACATGTCATTCTGCAACCGATTCTAAATATTTCATTTGGTCAGATATAGAAGCTATATCTAAATCTGAACCGATTTCAGGAAACCTAACACATCATTCTAGACCTAACTCAGTATCCTATGCCGAATTTCGTGCAAATCGAAAGATATATAAAGACTTTGGTGCATCATTTACCTTAAATCGGACGAAAATGTATACGGGAGCTATATCTAAATCTGAACCGATTTTCACGAAACTTAACACACATCATTCTAGACATAATTCATTACGCTGTTCCAAAGTTCGTCCAAATCGAAAGATATTAAGGGACTTTGCTACACCATTTACATTAAATCGGACGAAAATATATATGGGAGCTATATCTAAATCTGAACCGATTTTCACGAAACTTAACACACATCATTTTAGACCTAATTCACTACGCTGTTCCAAATTTCGTGCAAATCGGGAGATATATAGAGACTTTGGTGCACCATTTACCTTAAATCGATCCGATTTTTCCAAATTTCATCCAAATCGGATCATAAATGCGACCTGTACTTTGTTCACAAAAATACATGGAAAGACGGACATACGTAAATCGACTCAGAAAGTGATTCTATGCATATTCTCAAAAGGAACCATGTGTCTATCTCGTTTCCTTTTGCCTGTTACAAACATATGCAAAAAGACATAATACCCTGTTCCACAGTGTGGTGAAGGGTATAACAAGGGGGGTTATATGTTGACTACCCCAAAAAGGGGGCGAATATTAATAATTTTTGGTAGGCAGATTTATTACCATATACTACTACAAAGTACCAAATTGCAGCAAAATCGGTTGAAAAACGCACTCAAGAACCCCAAAGTACTGAAAATTGGGGGTACCCTTATATGGGATATGGGGGCTGTCCGAAAAAATGCACCTATATTCATAATTTTTTGTGGAGAGATTTAGGACCTATTAAGAACTGGAAATACTAAATTACAGCTAATTCGGCGGGAAAATACGATAAAAACCCCCAAAATACTGAAAATTAGGAGGTACCATTATGGGGGCTACCAGAAAAAGTGGACCTATATTTATAATTTTTTTGTGGAGACATTAAGTACCCAATAATAACCTAATGTACCAAATTTTAGCGAATTCGGTTGAAAACCGCGCACAAGAACCTAAAAATACCCTGGCTCCCTTATATGGGAGCTATGCCTAAACGTGCCATCTTTGAACCTGACCTGCCTGCAGACAAAATTTTGGCGATCTATCTCAATTCGTTTAGAAGTTAGAGTGATTACAACAGACAGACAGACGGACATGGCTATATCGTCATAGAATTTTACGCTGACCAAGAATATATATACTTGATAGGGTCGGAAATGATTATTTCGATGAGTTACAAACGGAAAAACAATATTAATATACCCTCCATACTATGGTGGAGGGTATAAAAACGGTAACACTCCATTTAACACTATCTTATGCTTCAAAAAGAAATGTTGAATAAAGTTTTCCAATTTTTTTTCTCTTTCCATTGTTGTTGCTGTAATTTTTTTTGTTTTGTTTATGCAAGGAATTCTTTCCTATATTTTAACTGATTACAAATTTTATTTGAAGTGTTTAGATGTTGTCGTCTTGTTCTAGTAGTGTTTCCATACTAAGGTATTTTTGTTGTTGTTGCTGCTGTCGTTTATTCGCCAACATTATTTATCAATAAATATAGAAAATAAAAGAAAAAAAATATACATGGGGAAGAACAAACTTCCATTGTATGGTATACGTCACGCTTATATGGCGGGGACAATAAATACGATTTATGAGCTAAAATATAATTACTAACGAATACCATATATAAGGTGTCGGATTAAGTTCGGTATGCAAATGCTAAATTAATTTATTTTAAATTTATTTATTTTGGCTGCTTACCTAAGTGACTGTAATTTGGCATATCGTGTTTTTGGATGGTTAAAACATTTTTGCAGAAAATGTTTGATGTAAACCTATGTTTTTAAATAGCCCCCTTACAAAGGGCAAAGTGTATGTTCCAACCTGAGTGGCTTTAATTTTCTTTGAGCCTAAACAACCTTCCATTAGACCATTTAAAATGCCTTGTCAGTATATAAAGAATCCCACATATTTAAAATTAAAATTAGAATAATTTGACAATTTTAATCCCGTGGATTTACCAAATCCAGGGCACTGTAAATGTACTATAACACTCACCGGGCAACAAAAATAAGTGACAAAACAAACGAAATAAATAAATTAGATTGTGAAAAATCTGCAAAAAAATTAATATTAAAAAATTTTTATAACATTTCGTTTAATCGCTCATATTTTACAGCTCGCAAACAAAAATGTTGATGATTTGATGTTTATAAACATAACGAAGAGCGCGATTTGATGTTTAGTGTTCCTTGAAGGTGTGTTTCGTAAACGAAAAGCTGTCAAGAACAAAATATGAACTCATTTCTTGAAGACTCAACCGAGTGTATCAGTCGCATTAGCAGTGAGACCCGTCACGATACCTTGATTAATGAGAAAAAATGGGAATGGGGCTTCTTAAGGGTAAGTGCAAGAATTCAAATAATAATCTTAATTAATTGATCAATAATAAGGTGTCAACGATGCTATATGTAGAACACAACATAAAAAGCACTATGGAAAATATTATAAAGTCAGACGGGACCAATTATATGATACCCTTCACCACTTTGAATACATACAAGGAATGCTCATATGTACAATAGAATAGATATATCATCTTTGAAGGGCCATTGAAATGGAATCGGACAAAATTAATTGCGTACATAGATATTTGAAATAAATTAAAACAACACATATACATATCAATCTGAAATTTATGAAAAATTTAATGCCAATGCTCCATTTACATAAAATCGGACGAATCAATATACAGGCGCTATATCTAAATCTCAACAGATTCCAACACCACCTCGCATACATTACTCTGTACCAAATTTAGTAAGCTGTGCAAAATTTTGACTTAAGGGGACCCCCGCCATTCTAGAGGTCAAATTTTTTTTGATTTAATTCGAATCTACACTAATTCAAGAATGTCCCTACAAAATTGCAAGTAAACATCTCAAGAACTCTTGAAAATATAGCCGATTTATTGTGTCAGCATCAAGTGACGGCTAAAGGGCTTCTCAAACTTTAAACGCGTTTTTCTCTTTTGCGAATGGCGGGCACGATAACTCAAAAACTAATAACCCAATCGATTCCAAATTTTTACACGTTTCTCTGTAAGTGTATAGCTTTCGTATGAACTAGGATAAAGCCAATCGGTGAAGATCTTCCTTATTTATACCCTTCACCACTCTGTGGTACAGGGTATTATGTCTTTGTGCATATGTTTGTAACAGGCAAAAGGAAACGAGATAGTCACATGGTTCCTTTTGAAAATATGCATAGAATCACTTTCTGAGTCGATTTATGCATGTCCGTCCGTCCGTCCGTTCGTCTGTCTGTCGATGTTAAATTGTAAACAAAGTACAGGTCGCATTTTTAAACCGAATTGGATGAAATTTGGCATAGATCACTTATTTGGCTCAAGGACGAACCCTATTGAAATTGGGAAAAATCGGTTCAGATTTCGATATAGCTCCCATATATATTTTCGCCCGATTTAATGTAAATGGTCCCTATATATCTTTCGATTTGCACGAAATTTGGTACAGCGTAATGAATTAGGTCTAGAATGATGTGTGCAAAGTTTCGTGAAAATCGTTTCAGATTTGGATATAGCTCCCATATATAGTTTCGTCCGATTTAATGTAAATGTTGTACCAAAGTCCCTATATATCTTTCGATTTGTACGAAATTTGGCACATCGTAATGAATTAGGTCTAGAATGATGAGTGTCAAGATTCCTGAAAATCGGCTCAGATTTGGATATAGCTCCCATATATATTTTCGTCCGATTTTAGGTAAATAGTGCACCAAAGTCCCTTTATATGCTTCGATTTGCACAAAATTTGGCTTAGCGTACTAAATTTAGTCAAGAATGATGAGTGGTGAGTTTCGGGAAAATCGGTCGATATTTCGATATTGCTCCCATATATATGTTCGTCGGATTTTATGTAAATGATGCACCAATGTCCCTATATATCCTTCGACTTGCACGAAATTTGGCACGTACTGAATTAAGTCTAGAACGATGTGTGTTAAATTTCGTGAAAATCGGTTGAGATTTAGATATAGCTCCCATATATATTTTCGTCCAATTTTAGGTAAGTAGTGCACCAAAGTCCCTTTATATCCTTCGATTTGCACGATATTTGGCATATCGTATTGAATTGAGTCTAGAATAATGAGTGGTGAGTTTCGGAAAATCGGGGTAGATTTCGACATATCTCCCATATATATTTTCGTCCGATTTTATGTAAATGGTGCACCAAGGTCCCTATATATATCCTTCGATTTGCACAAAATTTTTCATAGCGTACTGAATTAAGTCTAGAGAGATGTGTGTTAATTTTCGTGAAAATCGGTTCAAATTTCGATATAGCTCCCACATATGGATTCTATTTTTAACAACGCGGCGTACCGAATAGCGTGTATCTATTTTGCTATTAATCGTTTTCCATAAATTTTCCCCATGTTACGCAAGCGGCTCTACATCTGCTCGAATGAAGTTAAAGTTAGGATAGGTTGGAGAAAGATGAAACATAGACATTCAATTGTTAGGATACATATGTACAATATACCCAAAGTGGTGAAGGGTATCATATAGTCGGCCCAGTCCGACTTTACTATTTTCCTTACTGGTTTTTAACTCGGTTTTTGGTCAAAAATCGGCAATTTTCCAAAAATATTTTTTCAAAGGTCCGTCATTTTGTTAATTTTAGAGCGAAGTCAATAATCCTATTTCATACGAGAGCCAGAGATGTACTCTTTCTAACACGGTTGTAATTTTCGGATTCCGATGTTCCAGTGAGGAGTTCTCATTTCTCATTTACATCTTCAAATATATATGTGCAAAGTTACAAACCTTAACAAGCATTGGTATTGATTTACCAGCCCATTGAAAATCTTGAAAAATTAAAATCGAGAATGGGTGGGGTTCCCTTAATCGGAAAAAATTAACAGTATGGTGTTCCATTTACATAAAATCAAACGAAAATATATATGGTTAGTTATAGCTGAACCGATTTCAACAAAATTTCGCGGACGACAATCTGCAGTAATTTCAGTACGTTGTGCAAAATATTGTCTCAATCGGACAAACATTGAAAGTATGGTGCACCATTTACATAAAATCAGAGGAGACTATATATATGATCTGTATATATATCTGAACCAATCCCAACGAAACTTCGAATACATCTATCCAGACCTAATTCAGTACAAATAGTGGCAGTATGGTGTTTCATTTATATAAACTCGGCCGAAACTATATAAGAGATTCTTTTAAATCTGAACCGATTTCCGTTTGCCTGTAACTTTAATACGATAGCAAAATTGTATCTCTATTGTACAAACATTGAAAGTATGGTGCACCATTTACATAAAATCAGAGGAAACTATATATGGAAGCTATAAGCTATCTAAATCTAAACCGATTCCAGCGAATCTTCGTATACAGAAATTTGGACATAATTCCGTATGCCGTGCAAAATGTTGTGGCAATCGGCCTAAATTAGATTCTATGGTGCTCCATAAAATCTGACGAAACTCTATATGGGAGCTATATCTAAATATAAACCGATTACAAACGTCAATGTAGACCTAATTCAGTAGGGGAGACTGGGGCACCTTCGGCACTTTTTTTTTAGAGCTCTATATCTCAGTACTTATTCAACATATATAACAACTTTATGGCTGATTATTGTCCTCAGACACTTAATTATAAAAAATAGTACCAAAAAGATATAAAAAAATAGTATTAGTTAAAAAATTTTACAGTTTTGTAAAAAAAGTCAAATTCGCCGAATGTGCCCCAACCCGGGGTAGCTTCGGCATTTGATGGGGCACATTCGGCAACATAGTCATAGCCGGGTAATTGTCATCGCTATCAGTCTGGTTGAAATTCTGATCCTCTAAAGGCTCTATTTGGTTTTAATACGCCACACAATGTTTGAATTATAGGGCTTTATTTTCTAACGGCGTACGTTTACATCTCAAGCTCGCACACAACATCAGAAATAAGGGTTTTCTATCGCATTTTCGTCAATACAAGTACGTTTGATATTATATATGCAATTTCGGACCATATTAAAGGATTAGTTTTAAAGACAAACTCAAAAACATTTTAAGGAAATAATATTGCACAATCTGTATATGGCCGAATGTGCCCCACTTTAAAATGCCGAATGTACGCCGAATGTACTTTTTATAGTTTTTTTCATTTTTTTCGATCAGTTTTTAAAAACATTATATTTTTAAACATTTCTATAATAATACACATCGTAGTTAACCACTATTTAATAATATTGTCTTAAAAATTTAAAAAGTTTTATACGCGAAATACTTACGAAGTGGAATTGAAATATTACAGAAACATCTATAAAAATATAAAAACCCATGTATCTAAATAAGTTTATTAGCTAGAAATTTCAAACTTTGTGTCAGTTATTTATTTCGATATTCGATACCTATGTATCGAAACTAGTGATGTACGGTGAGAGCTTCATATCGAAAACGCGATTGCCGAAGGTGCCCCGATGCCGAAGGTGCCCCAGTCTCCCCTACTCTGTGAAAAATTTTGTCTCAATCGGACCAATATTGTCGGCAGTCGACTTCCAACTTGAATTAAGTTTGAACGAAATTTTACGGCGTGCATATTTGGCATCAAATCGGTCATACCATTCCATAACATTTTTATTGGGCTAAGAAATTTTAAAAATTTTGAGTCATTGTGGGGATGTATCTACCGGAAGGAGATGGGTCCCAACGCCGGATTCGGTCTAGACTAGGTAAAAATATTACGATTAGCAAATTTGGATATTCCGTTCATTTCATATAAGATTTACAGAGTTCCAAATGTTCACCCTTTGTGGGGGAGGTACTAGAAGACTAAGGCTGAGGGTATAAAAATTCAGGATGCACCCCGGCATTTGATCAAACACGATTTTTTTGGACTTGAATCTTCTGGACGTTCTTTGTAGGCAATATTGGGGCGTGGATTCCATGTCATTATTATACACCCCATCTTAGACATAGTTTCCATACAATTTCGTCCGTTTATGTACCAAGTCTGTCCGATTGATACGAATAAGACAAGAATGAGATGATTCAAATCCGTTTAGCTTTCATATATTTTTGACGTATGGTATTATATAGTCGGTTGCGTCCGACTTCACTACTCATTTATACTTAAAAAACAGTGAGCGGAGCAGTATAGTCGGACGGGGCCGACCATATGATACCTTACACAACATCCACGAAAATCTTACTTTGTGCGGTTCCATATTCTGAGCTTGGATCCTCATGGAAAATTTCAAATCGATTAGCGCTTTATTTCCGCCCTCTAGTTTGGTAATGGTTTACTAAATAATATGCGAATACTTAAGCACCTGTAAATATTTAAGTGTAACTCCCACATCCGAGTACATGCGACAATATAAATGGTATCAATATAAAGGTTAACCACTCCTCTTGGATATACTATCAACTTCTCGGGCCTATGTCCTTCAGGAGTAAATATAAACAACATAGAATACAAGTTTTATAATTTTTCACACAAAAGTCGGGGTCCATTTGAATCGTTAAAAATATTGATGGATCTTTGTCAAAACAGGCATGCTTATTATTTGGTACTATCCCTTCTCCGTGTAAAAATTTCGCGATGTTCAGACTATAATTGCGGCCTTTGGAGCGACCAGAAAATCAGACAAAAATTAAGTTTTTGGTCCATTTCATGCCCTATATATTAATCTTTATTGGCCAGAAACCATCCGACATGCAAAATTTCGTGAAGATTGGTCCATAACTGTGGCCTGTATCGTGTTTACAAATTATAATGAACAGACGGACGGACACACATGTCTTGATCGACTCAGCTAGTCGAGATATGACCGGTATACTTAAAGGTGGGCCCAGGACCAATGTTTCGCGGCGTTACAAACTCTTGGGGTTGCACAAATCTATAATATCCTGACAACATAGTTGTGTAGGGTATAAATACTTTCTTAATTTCTCTAAAAATACTTTCTGATTTTGTTTGTAAATATTCCTATCTTATAAATGTTTTCAATATTGTAAATGCTTAAATCCTCTCCCTCTTAACTTCCGTTTTTTGGTTTGTGCTTTCAGAATCAATGTCGCAACCTAGAATTGGAACAATTCTATCAATCGTATATGCAACGATTGCGTGTCAGTTACCTGTCGCTATTTGTCATCATAGAACTGCTGGTGGTCGGTGTGCATTCCATCATTCTCCTGTCTACGATTGGGGTAAATATTGTGTTTCGTTTCAGTAATCTCACCCCGGGTTATAACTCACTCACAACACATTCCATTCCATTCCATTCCATTCCATTGTTTTTCAGAATCTCAACAATGTGTCAACCGATATCTTTGCCTATCTCACCTGTGCTCTGTTGGTGTGGGGTATTCTGGCGCTTAACTTTCGCACAGAACTCATCAAACGATTCACATGGATAATGTATGTCACCTCCTGGCTGGCCGTTTGTATATTGGCCCTCACCGATATTGGCATATCTATCTATCATGCTGTCATCAATTTGGATATATTGCGCCCGGCCTATGGCAGTTATATCTTGTATGCGGTCTATATATTTATGCCATTGCCCGATAATGTTCACGCCTTTATGCTGGGCATGGCGGTGACCGTTTCCTATCTGATTGATTATGCCTTTGTGACATATCGCAAACATCCGGATGGCACATATCGGCTGGACGTGAACAAACTGATAACGGAGGGTATATTCTTGGTATCGATCAACATGTTGGGCATTTACTTTCGCATGATGAAGGAAATAGCGATACGTACCACATTTCTGGATCGTCGTCAGTATGTTGAGGAAAATTTATTGCTGCGTCATGCCCGCGAAGAGGAGGTAAGATTAAAAGGGAGAATGTATAGAATATATATTTTTTTTGAAGGCTGTTATCAAATTTGGATTTTCTATTACAGCGAAGCCTTTTGCTGAGTATTATTCCGGCGCATATTGTTAGTAGAATTGAAGATGATGTTAAAGCAAGATTGGAATATAAACGGGCAAAGAGACGATCATCGCCTCATACTCAGGTGTTAATGTAAGCCAACATTAAAGTTTTGGGACTTGAAAAAATGATTTTTTTAACCTTCTATTTGATTTTTATAGAGAAGAGCCGGAGCCAATAAGACGCTGGCGTCAACCTGAAGCAGAGTAAGTAGATAGTTGTAGTTCGCAGAAATTTCCAAAAGAAAATACATGAAAAAGTAGAAAGCACTGCTTAAAATGTTTAACATTTTTATAATGAACTAAAGTTTATTCCTTTGCTGCTAAACAGATTTTGCAGGCGTATTAGTATTTTAACAACTCATACGCCATCATACGCAAATAATTTCTTAGTGTGTTGGAGAATTACTTATTTAACTCAACAAATTGAGTAAAGACAACTTCTTTACCAACTAAAAGTTTTTGATTTTTTTCCATATAAAAGTATAGATCTTCAAAAAAAAGTATTTTTAAAGAAAATGTTTCTTGACAACCTGATTTTGTTTAAACATATTTCATCAAATGGGTATGCATTTGTAAAGTTAATTTTTTGGGCACCTAAACAAGTGTGGATGTTCTGTAAATATGTTTTCAAAGTACACAGAAAAACGTATTTTAAAGATTGGGTTTTGGTCACAACATATAATTTTCCTTGAGGCGTATGAGTATTGTCAGAACTTATACGAGAGCCAGGTCGTCTACATGCTACAAATAATTGGATACCTTCAAAGTCTTAAAAAATGCGTGGATTAAAAAAAATATTTATTCCAAGAATACAATTATCTTGGAATTTTTGTAATATTTTTACGACAAACAAAAATGTTCTTCATGGTCCACAACTGAGTGTGCCAGGGACGTACGCAGGGGGGCGGCCCGGGGGGCCCGGGCCCTCCCCGAAATGAAAAATGTTCACAGTAAATTTATGTTTGCAACAGCGATTTTTTTCCATTTTGTACTACCGGCCCCCCCCCCCCCCCCCGAAATGAAATCCTGTGTACGTTGCTGGAGTGTGCATTTAATGCTATTTTTATGGCATCCAAAAAAAGTGTGGATTTGCTGAAAATATGCTTTCAAGGTCCACAAACGGTGTTTATAGGTCATAAATAATGGTTTTTAAGGGAAACAAATAATGTTCCTTGAGGCGTATGAGTACTATCAATACTTATACGTCAAAATATACAATAATTGTTCAAGGGGCTGGGGAGTCACTAATGTAATGGAACAATGTAAGCAAGGGCACCTTCAAAACAACTAAAGAAAAGAAAGTCGACCTAAAAGCTTGGATTAAAAAACGAATGTTCAAGGTCCACAATTATGTGGCGATGTTTTAAAATATTTTAATGGCAACATGATTTTTTTTTATATTTCATCATTGTCCACAACTGGGCATGTATTCGTAAAGACATTTTTTATGGCACCAAGTAAGCACGGATGTGCTGCAAATATGTTTTCAAGTCCACAATATAGGCGTGTTTTATATTAATTAAATAAATTGTTCTTATAGGCGTATAAGTAGTATCAGAACTTATACGCCATAACGGAACAAGGTGAGCCAGATCACTGCTGAGCATGCAAATAAACGTGGATGTTTTGAAAATATATATTTCAAGGAAAATCACCGGGGCACAAATATCTAACTATTTTTTTCTACTCTCTAAATTTCATTTCAGAAAATTATTTATAGAACCGCATGAAAATGTTAGCATACTTTATGCCGATGTTGTTAATTACACCCACCTTACAACGACGTTAGATGTCAAGACCCTGGTGGAGACATTGCATGATCTATTCGTGAGATTCGATACAGCATCTGAGGTATTGTCAGACATTACAAATTATTTTGCAATAACGACGATGATCCATCTTAATCTAAATTCCCTCTTACAGGAATATAATGTTTTGCGTATTAAATTTTTGGGTGATTGTTATTATTGTGTTGCAGGTGTATCCATACCGAATGAATATCATGCCAAGTGTTGTGTGGACTTGGGATTGCGTATGATTAAGGATATACGTGAAGTAAGGTAACCATAAAATGCAAATAAAAAACAACAACGACAACAGAAAACCAACAATGGAACGCTGGATTATTTAAAAGTGATATATTTCTCTATTTAGAACTAGACGTAAATTAAATATCGATATGCGTATTGGTGTGCATACGGGTCGTATATTATCCGGTGTTTTGGGTGCCTGTAAATTGCAATATGATATTTGGTCTAAAGATGTAGATATTGCCAATCGCTTGGAACAAACCGGTATGGCTGGCCGAGTACATGTCAGTGAACAGACTTTGCGAGAGCTTGACGGTGAATATATGTACGAAGAGGGTACAGCACAGGGACGTACAGATCCAGTTTTAAAGAAACACGATATTCGAACATTCCTCATAAAGCCACCAAAAGTGAGTAGATTTTATTATGGTGTTTTTGGTATTTATTGAAATAATTTATTCTAAATTGTTCTGCAGTATGCCTCATACAATGAACATAGACGACCCTGGGCCGGCGTAAAGCGTCAAATAGAGCGTATACGTTCAGATACCACCACGGATTTTATGCAAAATAATATCCAGCAATTTAATCAAATTCGTACCCAGGCGAAGTTGGAAATGAGCCGGGAATTGGATAAAATGCCCATTGGAAGAATTCAGTAAGTTTAACGATTTCGAAGGTATTTGCACATTTTGGATATCGAATATACATATATAATATCAAATGATAAGCGAACAGCTCCTAAAATTTGGGACTCATATATGGTGGTTATGCCATTGTAAATTGTTCGCTTATTTACCCTCTAAAAAACGAAACACCCATTGGAGACATTTAGTTGGTTTGAAATTTTAATATACGGGAAATAGAATGGGACCTTAATTCGAGCGTTATGTCAAAACATAGACCTATATTGAAAATTTTCTACGAAGAGATTTCTTAGAATGCTCAATTACAGTCTTTTTGTTTGATAAATGAGTCTAGAACCCTAAAAATGCCGAAAATGTCGGCACTCTCAAAACAAAACAGCAAAGATTACATAAATTATATTACATTTAGTAACGAGTCAGAGTATTTTCATTGACCACCCTAAAAGTGATAAGGCGAAAACGAGCATGTTACGTTCCATCATAGTTCTCCGCGCCAAAGAAATACCACCACATTTCATAAAATTTGAAAATATTATTCGTCAGCAAAATCGTTGGGCCACTCTATGGGCTAGGAATCCAATTTTATACCCTCCACCATAGTATGGAGGGTATATTAGTTTTGTTTTTCCGTTTGTAACGCATTGAAATAATCATTTCCGACCCTATAAAGTATATATATTCCTGATCAGCGTAAAATTCTATGACGATCTAAGCATGTCCGTCTGTCTGTTGTAATCACTCTAGCGTCTAAACAAATTGAGATAAAGCCCCAAAATTTTGCATAGAGTCTATTGTCTGCCGGCAGGTCAAGTTCGAAGATGGGCTATATCGGTCCACGTTTAGGCATAGCTCCCATATATGGGTACCCCCAATTTTCGGTATTTTGAAGTTCTTGAGCGTTTTTTCAACCGAATTCGCTGAAATTTGGCATTTTGAGTTCTTATTGGGTAGCAAATCTCCCCACTAAAAATTATAAACATAGGTCCATTTTTTATCACAGCCCAATTTTTTACCCTACAAAGAATATTTAGCCATCTGTTGTAAGCATTCCGCCTTCTAAAGATATTGTGATAAAAAAAACTCAAACATGATGATAATGAAATATATCGGCAGACATTTAAGCATATCCTCAATATAGTGATACCTCCTGAAGGAAAGAATTGAGATATACCGGTCATTAATTATGCATAGCCCTCATACAATGATATCCCCAAATATTCACTATTTCCTACACTATATAATCAATATTGATCCCCCTTTAGGCATAGCCTCATATAACTTTGTAATCTAAATTACAGTAGTTTGAGGATTTTATACTCTACCATGCGTTATCAGTATCAGTCCACTTTTTGGATCTTACAGATTTTAGGAAAAACCCCCATTAAAAATTGCTGAAGTTTGTATTTGGTGTACATAATGGTTTACATAAATCGGTTTGTAGAATTATCGGTATATGCCCACTTTTTGGTATGTTCCCTATATTTTCATTGTATGTATCTGTCAGTACAACTAGGGTGGGGGGATCCAAAGTACGGCCCGGCCGAACTTAACGCTTTTTCACTTGTTTTTTTTTTGCAAAAGGTCCATTTCAGGTAGAGCAGATAAAACGTTATATATTTTAAATCTGGGGACTTTGAGCTTTACACTGGTAAAATGTTAAAATATTGTGGGTTACGATTTATAAATGGCATGATGTCAAAGTCAAAATAAAATCGATATGCGTAAAAAAATGGTCACAAAATGATGACCAATTAAACAGATAGAACTGGCGATTAAAATGACGTTATGATATTCGATGATATAGAAAAGGCCAATTTTGAAACATTGGATAATCAACCGTTGGTCTGTTCCCGTACTGCAAGAATCTACTACTTTTTACTACGATAACGAATTTTATTTTATGTTATCGAAGAAAATAGAAAAATCTAGTAGATTCTTGCAGTACGGGAACAGACCATATATGTATGTATATGACTGACATCAATATAGTGTGAGTGAAGCAGACATTTCGAAATCACGGGTGCCTTCTTATAACAACAAGGGAAGATCGAAGATCTTAGCCATCGCCATCAATGATGTACCTAGATTGGGGACTTTGGACACGTTGTTCAACAGAATTTTCTCCAATTTGATATTTTGGATTCTCATTGTGCCTACCAAAAATTATCAATATTGGTTCATGTTTGGGGGGAAGGCCCCATAGAGCGGTAACCCCATCATTCGGTGCGGGCCTGGTATTACAAAATGAAAAAATTCGCTATTGCAAACAAAAATTTACTGTGAAAAAATTTATTTTGGGCCGCCCCCCTGCGTACGGCCCTGCTTCCATATATATTTTCCGATTAAATGTAAAGGTTGCGTCAAAGTCCCTATAATCATTTGATTTGCACGAAATTTGGCATAGCGTACTAAATTAAATTTTAAATTATTTGTGTTATGTTTCCGGAAAATCAGTTCCGATTTAGCTATAACTCCCATATATATTTTAGTCCGATTTAATGTAAATGGTGCATCATAATATATATCTTTCGATTTGCACGAAATTTGGCATGAATATCGGTTCAAATATAGCTCCCATATATATTTTCTTCCGATTTTATGTAAATTGTGCGCTAAGGACCTAAAGTTTGTTCGATTGTCAAAGTGGTGAAGGGTATCACATAGTCGGCCTAGTTCGACTTTATACTTTCCTTGCTGGTTTTACACGTTTAATAGATTAGAATGTATTTTCCAATGTTGGTTCCTTCCAATGTTTTCCTGTTGTTGAATCGAATTCTGTCCGTTCTGAAAGGTCGAAACATTTTTAAGACTACACTGTTCTTAACTAATACTACTTTGTGCTATTGATGAATGTTGTAATCAATCTAATTTTTTTCCAGAGTTTCAAAGTTCTGTTTCGATCGTTCAAAACGTCTAACACAAGATGAACAAGAGGAGCAGAATTTTCGACGTAACATTACCTCAGTGGGTCTATTTTTCAAGGATTGGCGCTGGGAAATGCAGTTTCTACAAGAACCGGATGATATGCTGAAATACAGTGTAATAATGGGTGTTATTATCTTCTTCGGTATTATGGCCATACAATCGATAAATAAAGTGTGAGTGTTCTCGGCTTCCATTATAGTTGCTTCCTCTTTCTATTAATTTATCTAATCTATTTGCAGGCAATCTTCAAATTTTTGGACCACAAATGCTCTATATATTGTTCTTATAATAATCGTGATATTTCTAACATGGTTCAAAAAATTATGGATAATGTTTTGGGCCGAGACACTGCAATCGGAACCTGAAAATAAATTTATTTTATTTTTATTTGACGCCTCGAAGAGGGTACAGAGTAGTATAACGGCACGTGTAACAATTTATTTGCTTATAATTGTTATACATTGTTCGGCGACGTTTATACAATTGGTAAGATTTTATTTATAGGTTTGGTTTTGAATATTATAATACTAATGACTTTAATATATTTTTCATTCTCCCTACTTTAGTTAGATTGTAATAACTGGCCAGTACTTGCCGACGGTGATGGTAAAAATATAACCGATTTTGTTACGGATGATCGTTCATGTGATGTGGGCTTCAATCCTTGGGTAAGTTAGGTCATTCAAAAGCCAAACTGAAAATTGTACCACAGATCTTTCTGAAAGAACGGTTTTTTATAAAAATTAAAATTTGTGTGCCACAGTTTTGATATTTTTTGTATGCAAAGAATTCACAGTCCGACAAGTGATTTCTTAAGAAAATATTTTCGAACAAGGTCCAGTACATCCATAATGGGATAAACTATTGAATCAAATCAACCTTTTAATAACTATGCTGTATCAGATATAATATTTCAACTCAAATGTTCTTGAATTTTTAACTATTTTCTATTTCCCCTTACAGGCCATCACCGAAAGTTTAGAGTTAACAATTTGTATGGTCTTCCTATTTTCGCGCATTCCATTTATTTTGAAATTCACAGTGGGTGTACTCATTTCGGGCATATACATTATTATCATCTTTGTCAGCTATGCACCGATCTATGAATCGAGTCCGGCAACAAATGTCGGTCTGCGTGCAGAATTTTCCCATGTTATGGTTATAATTATAACGTTGTGTATATTTCATTTGATGGATCGCCAAACGGAATTTATATCGAAAGTGGATTATAAGTGAGTATTTGTTCGCCATCTAAAAATGTTGTCTTTAATTTTATATTTTCTATTTTTCAGTTGGAAGCGGCAGTTACAAAGAAAACAAAATGATGCCAAAGTTACAAATGCCTCCATTTCGTTATTGATACGAAATATATTACCATCACATGTGGGTAAGTACAGTAATAGCTGTAGTCCCGTAATTTTTGCATCGTTCGCCATGAGGTGGAGAGGAAATATTAGAGGAAACTTGGTCAAAAATATAATTCTCTTTATCAAACTTCAGTCCTTTATGGGCTGCGTCCATACAGAGAAAAAAAAATAATTCGTATATTATATGAATAGTGTGCAGAAAGTGTAGTCCATGTCGGAAATTCTGCATTTTATGAAAGCAATTCATAAAACTTAAATACTGCTTTCTTGTCAGAGGGAGAGAGTGAGAGTGAAATTACAACTTTGGGTGTGTGTGTGTTTTGGTGGTGGTATCGAGTTTCCATGGCCCAAAAAATCTTTGTTGTTTTAATTTTTCTATTTTTATTTCATATTTTCTTCTTCTCCGTATGTCTTGCTGTCGTTTATGATTCTTTACAACGATATAAAATGTTAAACATATGGTTGGGCTTGTTGTTCGTATCAATAATTGTTTGATATATTGTATTTAGCATTTATATCGAAATAATTTGGAAAATACATATGCGAATTTGTTAACACCAATGCAGAGTGTCTGAAATAAAGGAACAATGGAATGCAAAAAAAGTCGCAATCGAGTGAGTGGAAAGTCAGCGGTTGTTAGCTACAGAAATATTTACATTTTTTTTTTGAAAAAATAGTGGCTTACTCACGATTATAAGAATTTTTACTTGTATTAAAAAAATCAATATGTAAAAAAATAACTACAAATGAATCTATGAATATATTTATTACAATTTTTTTTGTGTAGGGAATTTGTGGTCGTAGTCCACATGCCTACGCATGCGTAAGGTATCGAGGCATCAATACGTATCCAAAAGGAAATAAGAAAATCTTGACTACTCGTGTTTGTCTTTGTAGCTGCTTCTCATCAGCTGCTCATATGGATGACCTCCGGTATGGTTCCGGATGACCTCCGGTAGGGTATGGTTCAATGGTGGGCAAAATTTCTCTTAAAATATTGTTAAAGGAAAATAAAAACTTCAGTAGTGTTTGGCGGGTTATTTGGGATACCATTTGAATTTTGTTTTTGCAAAATAGTCAGGCTTAATCCCAGTTTGTTGTTTTTATAAAAAACAACTATTTATTAGTGGGGAATGTATGGCATTGTCCGCCGAGGGGTAAGGCAGGGAAGACTATAGTTTCGGATCTCGCCACTGATCCTCATCAGCTCCCTTAGTTTTTTGTTGGGATATTCTCCCCAGAAGCTATTAATAGCTTCTTTACAAAAAACCTTTCAAACCCAAATGTCAAACACTACTGAAGTTGTAGACGAGGCACGGTCATACTGTTTGGTTTATTACTTTAACTAGCAATACCAACAATAACGTTATGTGCATTCGTCACAAAGTGACGACACATAGCAGTGGGAAATGTATTGTAGTTGTCTGTAAATGCCTTGTTGACCACGAAGTCAGGCGCCAACGAGACGAACTTCTCATTGGGGTCGTATCGCTGGTAACGAATAACTTCGAATTGTCACAAGAGACATTTGGGTTTGAAAGGTTTTTTGTAAAGAAGCTATTAATAGCTTCTGGGGAGAATATCCCAACAAAAAAACTAAGGGAACTGATGAGGATCAGTGGCGAGATCCGAAACTATAGTCTTCCCTGCCTTACCCCTCGGCGGACAATGCCATACATTCCCCACTAATAAATAGTTGTTTTTTATAAAAACAACAAACTGGGATTAAGCCTGACTATTTTGCAAAAAGGAAAATAAAAACATTAATTATTCTGCGGAAATTAATTATTTTTATATTTTTAAATCATGAATAACATCCCAGGAAGTAAAAAAAAATAAATTCATTAAAAAAATTGTGGATATTTTTTCATTAATGTTAATTTTTGTTTTAACATCAAAAAATGTTAAGAGAATGCATCAACGCTGGTGTGCAAGTCTGCCCAACTATGGTATGGTTGTACTCCCTAGGCGACAATATCTGTATGAACTCTATTGATAATTGCTTGATTTGCCTGTTGATCTAGAGGTTCCTGATCGTACCTTTGAATCTCTCTCTTTACCTAGATCATGAAAATCCCAACCCTAAATATGCAGTAGAGATGCAGGAGCTTGGGATGACAGGTGACTGTAATGTCATTGTTTTATATACAGGTTTTTCAAAGACATATATGGGAGAATGTGGCCAAGGTAGAGAGAGCAAATATTTTCATATTTCTATTGACAAGATCAGCTATTTAGAAGTTTATACTCTGACATGGGATCCGACGACCCTATGTTCTCACTTCAAAAACTTTCTCTGGAGCACATTTTTAAACCCCCCAAAATCCTTCATCTTCATCTTAAAAAAAGAAAAAATCATGGAAACCGATTTTTCGATTGATGTTGATGTGGCTTTCTTGGGACCCTCAGTCCCGAACTCTACAAGTTCACATCACTATCAATATTCACAAACGATGACGACCAATGCCTATGTACCGGAGCAATCTTCTTTTTTTAACCTCTTTACTTTGAACGATGCCTGAGGAGGCAAACTGACCGCCTCCTCAGGCTTACGACCAAATTGAAGATACCGGTTCCTTCCGCCTTAGTCAGGAGAGTAGCAAGCGGCAGCAGTATTGAAAATTTTTCAGAAATTACTCTCTACTATGTTTGGATTCCGAAGTAGGGGTTCACAATCTCTTTGAAATCCTCTTAATCGGCATTCCCACGGCCGAGGAAAGTACGGCGTAATATTATGAATTCGAAGGAAATGACCGGTTGCCGGGTTACGTCTATTACCAGACCTCGTGTAATAATGGTGTTGTCTGGCTAGCTGTTGCAATCTCCCCTAGTACGTGTGGACCATCCTCATTTAGCGCTTTAACGCTCTGATCATGGCCTATGAAGGAAAGCCATGACTCATAAATCATGAGTCATGATGGACATTGAAATCCCCTAGTAACGGCCGATATTTGTATTCTAAAAGTGCTATTCATCGGCGCCATGTATACATTAATGGGCCATAAGAATCTAGGGTAAGAAGAACATGTTTGTACTGGATGCTTCTGGTACTATTCTTCCGTAAGCTTCGCAACGCTGTAAGCTATAGTTCTCGGTTTCTTGGATCGCAGCGAAATAAACTCCACTATTTCGGTGATCATGTTGTCGAGACTTCGATGAACTTGTATTTGTTGAGATACGAAATTTCGGTACCGGACATAGCACCTACATAAAGGTTCCGCTCAACTTTCGTTACTTCGTTTTCCTAGAGGATAAACAAGTTCCTGGCAGATACACACAATAGATGTCCAGGTTTTGATATAGTTTTGAAATACCTCCTTATCGTGGACCTTATAAAATCTTCGACCTGATCGAACTTTACCACGTTTTCAGTTCCTTCATTAATCGACTGTCACACTTTTCTTTCAGCCGATATTTATATATCGAAACAAATGAAGAACGAACTCTATTATGAGGAGTACGACAATGTGGCCGTAATGTTTGCAACAATTAAAAATTACGACATTGATAATGTGGGCTTGAGGGTGTTGAACGAGATCATTTGCGATTTTGATGAGGTGGTAAGTAAAACAAATCTCGCGAATTATATTTCTATAGGCAAAAATATATATTGCATATTTTTCCAGCTCAAACTATTCGAATCGGAGGGTATGTTCAAGGTGGAAAAAATCAAAGTTGCCGGTTGGACTTATATGGCAGCATGTGGCTTAGATTTGGCTCGATCGGAAAACGTCAACACGCAAGGAAATTTTCGTAATTCATCATTGTTGATGAATGGACGGCGTAGTCATTATGATAGTAATGGAAGATCGCCGGCCAGACATTCGCGAAATCAGCTAGATATGGGTCCCTCGACATCGACAGCATCGAATCAATACGAAGGCCACAATAATACGGCGAACGCGAGTACTCAAAAGAATCGGAAAATCAGTTCACCCAATCAATCGAACGTGGTGCATGTGATGGCTCAATTTGCCCTGCAGCTTATGCGGACCATGCATTCCTTTAATGTGGAAAATTTACAATGTGAAGATGGTAGTGGTGACAATGGAATGCTGAGAATCGGTAGGAGCCATAATACATTTAAATCCTAATAGGTTTAAGTTCATCTTGAAATATTCTCTTGCAGGTATTAGCAATGGTGCCATTATGGCTGGTGTTGTTGGTTCTTCGAAGCCTCACTATGATATTTGGGGTAATGCCGTGAATATGGCATCACGCATGGATTCCACGGGTATGCAAGGCCGCATCCAGGTCACCGAAGAGACAGCTGATATTTTACGCACATTTAATATTAAGTGTAATTTCCGCGGCATGACCTATGTTAAGGGTCGCGGAGAAATTCCCACATATTTTGTGGGTATCGATGAAAATTTAAATTTCATACCAGAGATGGGTACAAACGAAACAAATGAAAATACTGCGCCATCGTAAAATTAACAGTGATGATTTCCCGTAGCAGCAATCATGAGACAAAATTGAGAAATTGAGAATCACTTGGACATTTCTTAAACCTCAAAACCGAGGTTTCAGACAGCCAATGAAAAGGGTTCCTACCTTTATAGAGGCATATAATTTGTTCGTGGTTAATCATAACCTTCGAATTGGTGCATTGATTTTTTATGAAAAAAACGAAATGTTTTTTTATATTTTATTTTTTAATTTATTTCTTTAAGTGTTGAACTAATGTTATTAAATAGGAAAAAGAAACATTTTCAATAAATACTCTGTATATTACTAATGTAGGCATTAAAATGTATTCCTAAGAGACGGTAATTTAGGATTTCGGATTTTTGGGAGGGTGAATATCATATTTGCAGATAAATGGGTTTATGTTTTGATATAGCTACCTTACTTCAAATGGAATATATCGGCCCACGCATTGGTGTAGCCCCAATATAACAGTACCCCCCAGTATTCGGTATTTTGGAAATGTTGGAAACATTTTGCACCGAATTGGCTGTAATTTGGTATTTTGTAGTCGTATATTGTTCCAAATCTCCCTACCAAAAATTGTTAATATTCGCCATCATTTTGGAGTAGTCCCCATATAACCCCCTTTTTTATATTAAAATGGTTATCTGATTTGTTCCGCGTTTTGAGTTTGGTTCTAAGACTCTGATGTAATCATTTCACCTGCGGAGGATATCGCGATAAAAAAAGGGGAACGTAAGGTTCGATAATGACTATAACCCGCATTTAGACGTAATCCTTGTAATCCCCATCTTCGAATTTGAACTAAGATTGGAAGAAATAATAAGATGGACAAAGTTTGGATGGAATCTAAATTTTTTGAAACGGATTCGGTCCAAAGAAACATGGGATCTAGAACCAATATTTCGATTAGCCATAGTGTATAATTATCCATTAAAAATTACTGAATTTTTTATTATGGTTTACATAATCCCCTTTTAGAAATGTCGGTATAGGTCCACTTTTTGGTATGTTCCCTATATTTTCATTTCTAGTACCTGTCAGTATATCTATGGTGGAGGGTATCCAAAGTTCGGCCCGGCCGAACGCTTTTTCACTTGTTTAATATTGAATCAAGTTTCAGGGAAGATCCTATATAACTGTACCCCCGAACCGTTATTGCCTTAAATTTGGTATTATGGGTGCTCGTTGAATAGCTAATATCCTGTAATATGGAACCCCCCAATAAATTTTCTGTAATTTGGTTCTCAAAACGGTATCACCACATTTCCGCACAAAAAATTATTAATATTGTCCCAAGTCGGAATTTTAAGAATTTGGGATTGGTTGTAACTTCCAAAAAATATCAAAATTGTTCTCCTTTTTATTATAGCCCTATATATCGGTAGCCCCACTATTAAATATTTTGAGTGTTGCAATCATTTTGTTCTGTCATCCTTATGGTGAAAGGTATAAATAATTCAGCCGGGTCGAACTTAACATAGTCCTGATTTAGATTAGGCGAGTTTACTTGCGGCAATTCTTATCGTTCTCTTTTGAACTTGCTTCATGCGTCTACACAAGGCAATTCGGTTTAAAAAATATTATTTTTTTCGACATTTTGAGACAATGTTCTGGATTGGTATTTCAAATTACTGACACTAAAAACAAAATATACAAAACCAATTGCCGGTACCAGCAATTTTTTTCAATTTATGTTCCCCTTGTCCCTCTCTCCTGCAACAAAGACTTCCCGCAAGTAAACTCGCCTAATCTAAATTGGGACACAGATTTTGCCTGCTTTTTTAATTTGATTTTTTTTTCACTTACTCGAGATAGGACCCTATTAAATTCTGACACTTTTCTAAAAAAAAAACAATATTAATTTTTTGACTTTGATAAATATTTCATAAATATCAATTATAAAATCAATACCCAAAAATATGTTTGGATTTGGAGATGAGTTAAAATCATCTAAAGAGCAGCTAAGAAGTGAAATATACTTACGCCATTCAATAGATCATCAAGATTTCTTTTTGGAATGGACGGAATTGAAGGTTTTAAACACATACTACATTTTAAAAATCAATATTCTAATCCATATCCGTATATACATACATGTATGTGCATACATATTTTATGAAACAGGCGAAATGCAAGCGTCTGGATTTGGAAGAAACATATCAAGCCTATTTAAAAACAATTTTTCGCAATTATTTAAAATCGTTCATGAAAATTCATATTTTTATTGCAATTGTCCATAGTTTGGCGGTCAACGTTGGAGATGAGGTAAGTACAAAAAACTAACAGCCAAGGACTGCCAATGATAGTCATTCAATTCAATATAAAAGAATTTTCAATACACAAAACATCTTGGAGGATATGAGAAGTTCGGACCGGCGGAAAATAATGTTGTTTTTTACAATTTTCTTTTTCAAATTATTTTTTAACGTGTTTTGCAGGACCCCGATTCTTCGCCCATTGACGGCTACATTTATATGTGTGGAGCAATAATGGCTTGCCTTTGTTCCTCAATATATTTGAAAAAGGATTTCGTTAACCAACATTCCTATATCCAGTATCTAGTTTCATGGTTGATTAGTTTAATTATGAGTCTTACAGGTACTTATTCTAAAATATACACATATCATAATTTTCAATAAATATTGTTTTTCTTTCAGATTTCATGATTGGCATTTTAGCCTATACGCTAAATGATGACATTTTGCGCCCATGCTATTGTGGATACACCATATCCTGTATATATCTTTTTATGCCCATACCAAGGGTTTTACCACAAATGCTCTTAGCATTTGCCATTAGCGTTTTGTATGGGCTTTGTTCGACGTTTGCCGCCTTTACAAAATCGACAGAAAATGAAAATATGAATGTGGACTTAAGAACTCTTTTACCAGATCTAATATTTATTATTGGTCTTAATGTGATAGGTTTGTGCAATCGAATTAGACGAGATTGTGCCGCAAGGAGGGTACTACTAACACGTCATCTTAATGTTCAAGAAAATTTTTTGCTGAAATTTGCCAAAGATCAAGAGGTAATAACATAATATATATTATTAATTGACCGTTGTTTTTTGTTGTTGTGATTTCTAGCACAGCTTATTAATAAGTATTATACCGGCTCAAATTGCTGAGAAAATTGGCCAGGAGATTAAGACGCGAATTGAACGTTTTAAACTGCCACGAATGACCAGGCCTCAATATGCTAGTGAATTTGCAAGGTAATTGTCTGAAAACAAATTTCAGGTGGGAATTATGTACCTACATATAGTCGAAACCGTTTATAAGGACATTGTTTTTATATATAACGCTTATAACGACAGTATCCAAAAGTCCGAAACAAATTCCGCCCTTAATTTGATGTCGCTTATGTTCCCGTCGTTATAAGAAATTTGAACTGTATTTGAGTGCAATGACACGGGAGTAAAGTAGAATAAAGTTGGTGAAATAAAACTTTTAAGGAAGGAATTTATGCCAGACGTGGACAACTACATGTAACCAGTCTTCAATGCTTATTTTGGCTTATTCAACTGTCTTTAGGGTAGATTCTTCTTTGTTATGTAAAAGTTTGTGTATAGGGTAATAACCGTTTATTATAAAATGGGCATAATTTTCTATACATCATGTAGTGATATCATCGTATCTCAATATCAGTTATGCCAAATCGTTTGGGAGACAAAGTAAAAATTTCGGTTTTTAAAAAGTCGATAAAGGTTACATTATAGACCCTCACCAATCCTGACTCAAAATGTAAGTCCACACTTTCCAAAATGGAGCATTACATGTATAAATATATATATATATATATATATAAACCCTTTATGTAAACCATAATGTACACCAAATACAAATTTCAGCAATTTTTAATGGATATTTATACTCTCAGCCTAGACCCCATGCTTCTTTGGACCAAACCCGATTCTTAAAATTTGGATTTCATCCGAACTTTATACATCTTATTTTTACATTCAAACTTAGATAAAGTTCCAAGATGGGAAATATCGGTTCACTCCTTTGGTACCTCCCACACAAAATGGTCAAAATTGTGCAAAAAAATAATTTTATTTTATTGACCACTAAAGGTCAAAATTTGGAGGCTATACCTTAAGCGGGACAAATGTTTATTACATCGTGTAGGAATTGCCGAATATTTATAGTTATCATTATATGAGGTGCTCTATTTCGAAACTAAAATTTTTGCATCAAAATACATTCCTTTACGCTAAATACAAAAAATACCGGAAATTGGTAGATATCATTATATGGGGGCTAGGCCTAAATGCGGGCTATAGTTCATTATCGAACCGTACGTTCTAGTTTTTCATCTCGATATCCTCCCCAGGTGAAATGATTACAAAAATTAAATTATTATAATAATTTTTGGGGCGAATATTAATAATTTTTGGTAGGGAGATTTGTTACCATATATGACTACAAAGTACCAAATTACAGCGAATTGGGTTGAAAATGCGCTCATGAACCAAAAAAAGGAAAATACTCCATTATATGGGGGATATCAGCAAAATTTGCCCTATATTCATAATTTCTTGTGGAATGATTTGGTACATATTTCTAAGTCAAAAACCATCAAATTACCGGAAATTAGGGGTATCGTTATATGAGGGGTACCAGAAAAAGTGGGTCTATATTTATATATTTAGTGGAGAAATTTGATACTCAATAATAACCCAATGTACCAAATGTAAGCAAATTCAGTTGAAAAAAGTGCTTAAGAACCCCAAAATACCGAAAATTGGGGGGTACCCTTATATGGGATCTATGCCTATACGTGGGCCGATATATCCCATCTTCGAACCTGACCTGCCAGCTGACAAAATTATGAAAATATTCATTAAATTTTAAGCTTTTCTTCACTTCGCTTTCACTAATTTCAATTTATTACATTAGAAAACTTTTTATAGAGTCACATTACAATGTCAGCATTATCTTTGCGGATTTAGTCAACTATACACATCTGACGACAACGCTGGATATCAAGACCTTGGTGGAGACATTACACGATCTGTTCCAGAGATTCGATCAGGCCTGTCAAGAATTCAATGTAATGCGCATCAAATTTCTGGGCGATTGTTATTATGGTGTTACGGGTATGCCACAGGCGCATCCATTTCATGCACACTGTTGCATTGAATTCGGTCGTGCCATAATCGAACAAATATCTGATGTTAGGTATGCGGATTTTTCACCTACATACCATATGTATAATTTTTGTATACTTGACATTATAGAAATGTACGTAATCTGGATATTGATATGCGCATCGGAGTACATTCGGGAAATATTCTTTCGGGTATTATTGGTGCTGCCAAATGGCAATATGACATTTGGTCTAAAGATGTCGATATTGCATCACATTTGGAACAGACTGGTGTTGCGGGAAGAGTTCACATAAGCAAAAATGTTTTGAAATATGTCGAAGCATATTATGAGTATGAAGCTGGAACTGAGAGTGCCACAAGGGATCCACTACTAATAAGGGAGCATATTAAAACCTATTTGATCATTAAACCAAGTGTAAGTATTTGTGATTCGCAGGGAAGTCTCATCGATAAACATTATTTTTTAAATATGTGTATAGCCATTTGACATGACTTTCATTCCCCCTATTGTAGGAATTTATGACCCAATCCAAAGAATGGAAAACCTATAAGAATCGAATAAAAACGAAACGCAAACCACACACATTTGCAGATGCCAAATATACTGACGTTTCTAAGCCATTGGACTATAACTCGATAAAATCCCAGGCAAATTTACAAATGTCCGGAGATATTAGAAAATTACCTATCTATAAATTAGGGTGAGCCGAGTAAGAGTACATTTCTTGGGAAATGCGATTTCGTTATTGACTATTTTTTCAGCATAAAGGAACATCTATTTGTGCGAATGCCCCGCTTAGATGCTTACGAAATGGAAGATTTTACAGCAAATCGTAATATTAGCACATTTTGCCTATGGTTTAGCGATTGGAATTGGGAATCAGTGTACAACTCAGAATTTGATGAATTCTTCAAAATATCCATAGCGATGTCATATGCGATACTAATTTGTATCATGATCATGCAAGGTTCGAATGAAATGTAAGTACATATTTTTAATACCCTCTACCAGTAGAATTAAAATGGGTTTGAGGGATTTAATATGGGTGTGGACATGGTAATTTGTTGCAAGGAGAGATCGATATATTAAACTATAGATTCTAAGGTAGGAAAATTTGGCTGGGGCCTTGAAATCCATGAAATACAAGTAAAAAAGTTCACACTCAAGTTGGAAAACCACAGTATTAACTTCAAAATACCGAAAATTATACGGGACATTTGTATGAGGGCTACTTTAAAATATTAACCTAAATTGAAGAATTTCTGCAAAGTAAGTTTTTTTATTCACCGGGAAACCGATATGCTAAACTTTGAATACTTCGATGAAAAACTTTGGCTAAAAAATTGAAAAAATGCGGTTAAACCTTCAAAATACAAAAATATACCCCACGAGAATCCAAAAAATCAAATTAGAGCGCATTCGATCGAAAAACGTGTCCAAACCCCCAAAATACAGAATAATGAGTGTTGCCATTATATAAGGGCCGGGCGGAAACGTGGGCCAATATTGATATATTTTTGTTGAGGTGACAGGTACTAGAAATGAAAATATAGGGAACATATCAAAAAGTGAACCTATACCGACATTTCTAAAAACGGATTATGTAAACCATAATACAAATTTCAGAAATTTTTAATGGATAATTATACCCTCAGCCTTATGGCTAATGAGGGCGTATACACTTTAACATGGTGAAAATGTGCCTTATCGATATATTGGTTTCTTTGGACCAAATCCGTTTCAGAAAATTTAGGTTTCATCCAAACTTTGCCCATCTTATTATTTCTTCCAAACTTAGTTCAAATTCGAAGATGGGGACTATGGGTCCACTCCTTCTGGAACCTCCACACAGGGGCTAGGTCTAAATGCGGCTATAGTTCATTAACGAACCATAATTTCTAATTTTGTATCACGCTATCCTCCGCAGGTGAAATGATTACAACAGAGTCTTAGAATCAAACTCAAAACGCGTAATAAATCAGATAACTATTTTAATATAAATAAAAGGGGGTTATATGGGGACTACCCCAAAAAGAGGGCGAATATTAATAAGATTTGTTACCATGTACGACTACAAAATACCAAATTCCAGCAAATTCGGTTGAAAAACGAGCTCAAGAACCCCAAAATACCGAAAATTCGGGGTACCCTTATATGGGGGCTATCCGAAAAAATGGACGTATATTCATAATTTTTTTGTGGAGAGATGTGGTACCTATTAAGAACTCAAAATACTAAATTACAGCTAATTCGGCGAAAAATACGATCAAAACCCCCAAAATACTGAAAATTAGGAGGTACCGTTATATGGGGGCTACCAGAAAAAGTGGACCTATACTTATAATTTTTTGTGGAGACATTTGGAACCCAAAAGGAACCCAATGTACCAAATTTCTGCGAATTCGGTTTAAAAAGTACTTAAGAACCCCAAAATATCGAAAATTGGGGGGGGTACCCTTATATGGGATTTATGCCTAAACGTGGACCTATAAAGCCCATCTTCGAACTTGACCTGCCTGCAGACAAAAGACGACTCTATGCACAATTTTGGCGATCTATCTCAATTCGTTTAGACGCTAGAGTGATTACAACAGACATACGGACATGGCTATATCGTCATAGAATTTTACGCTGATCAAGAATATATATATATACTTTATAGGGTCGGAAATGATTATTTCGATGAGTAACAAACGGAAAACAAAATTAATATACCCTCTATACTATGGTGGAGGGTATAAAAAGAAAAAAAAACAAATACAGCCTGTTTGGTTGAAATACTTACCCCACACTTAGTAGGGGGTACTGTTACATGGGACAAAATTGATAGGTTTATGTAGGGAAACTCTCTGTTCAAGGAGAATCACTAAAACTTGACACAAAAGCTACAAAATGTCGAATGTGGGAGACACTTTTTGTGGGAAGTTATTCTACTCAGTAAGAACCCAAAAGCTTCGAAATATCTTAATTGGGGGTGAAAACGTAAAAAAGGGCTGAAATATTTCACTTTCAATATCAAATATACTTCAGTATGCAAGGGCTATGCAGAAAATCGTAATCGTGTTCGACGTTTACAGGGTGACAAATTATAGCTAATTCGGTTAGAAAATGTGCCTATGGCTATAAAAATTCCGAAACTTATGGCGCGACCCTTATACGAAGGCCTTTTCAACACATGAACCTATTTTGAAAATCGTCTACATATTCTATCTTATCCTTCAATACATCAAGACGACAAATTATAATTACATATATACTAGAGATCTTTAGATGGTGGTTTTGATTTATATGGAAAATGTTTGACATATCTCTTTTTATAGCCTTCAGGTACACGGTGTTATGGCTTTGTGCATATGTTTGTAACCGGCAAGAGAATCGAGCTAGACTTATGGTTACTTTTGAGAATATGCATAGAATCACATTCCGTCTGTTTCTCCGTCCGACCGTTCATGTATTTTTGTGAGCAAAGTACTGGACGCATTTATCATCCAAATTGGATGAAATTTTATACAACTCATTTATTTGGCCCAAGGACGAAAAATATTTAAATTGGAGGAATTCAGTTCAGATTAAGAAATAGCTCCCATATATATTTATGTCCGGTGCGTAAAACTCCCATTATTTGTCCTATTGAGACAATATTTTGCACATCGTATTTAATTAGGTCCAGATTGATGTAGGCGAAGATCTGTTGAAATCGTTTCTGATTAAGATATAGCTCCCATGTTTTGAGCGATTTAATATAAATGGTGCGCCAAACTCCCAATATTTGACCGATTTAGACATCATTTTGCACAGCGTACTGTATTAGGTCCAGATTCAGGTATGTGAAGTTTTGTTGGAATCGGTTCAGATTTATATATAGCTCCCATATATAGTTTCGTCCGTTTTATGTAAATGGAACACCATATTGCCAATATTGGTCCGATTGAGACAAAATTTAGCACAGAGTACTGAATTATGTCCAGATTGATGTATGCGAAGTTTTGTTGGAATCTGTTCAGATTTAGATGTAGCTGTAATGTTATAGTCCGATTTTACGTAAATGGAGCACCAAATAGGCAAATTTAGGTCGATTGGCATAAAATTGTGCATACCGTATTGAAATTACTACAGATTCACATCGGTGAAGTTTTGTTGAAATAGGATAAGATTTAGATACATTTTCGTCCGACTTTATTTAAAGGGCGCACCGAGAAGTCTACGATTGTTCTATATTCCCGGAATTTAGCAGCGGGTATGAAATTTAGTATAGAATGCCTTGTTTGAAATCGGTTCAGATTTAAATATAGCATATATATATATATATATATATACATTAATCCCATTTTATGTAATTGGTGCACCATAGATCCTGTTCTATTTGCACTATATTTTGTTGTTGAAATCGGTTCAGATGTAGATATAGCTCCTCATATATTTTTATCCGATTTTAAGCAAATGGTCCAAATGGAGGAGCCTATACATAGCGTAGTGGATTGAATATGTTTCAGGTTTAGATATGGCTTCCATATATATTTTCATCCGATTTCATCAAAATGATGTACCAAATAACTAAAATCTGCTTAGGACGAATTAGTGTACAACGTACTAAATCGAACGTAGAATATCGTGAATTGAATTGTGTGTCGAAATAAATTTTGTACAACGCACTGTTGCAGCATACCAAATGGTGGATCCCACTATTGCTCAAGTACGCCGATCTTATACAAATTTTGCTCGATGTTTGACATTAATTTTTTCATAAATTTCATATTGGTATGTGTATGGGTTGTTTTAATATAAAGTAGACCACGGATATAAGAACATCAACAAAAATCGAGAAATTTGTTCTTATAGGCGGGTTTTTCTTATATGAATTTATTTTATATAACAAACTGTTTTCATTTATGGGAGAAACATTTTCTTATATCCGCGTTTTTCTTATATAAGATGTTCTTATATCCGTGGTCTATTGTAGTTCAAATATCTATATACGCCACGCAGTTAATTTCGCCTGATTTCATTTCAATGGTCGTCCCAAGATGCAATGTCTATTCTATCCAAAGGATATGGTACATATGAGAATCTCTTGTATGTACCCAAAGTGATTAAGGGTATCATATAGTCTGCCCGACTTTTGAACTTTCCTTACTGTATTTATTTTTTACAAAAACAATATCTCTCTCTTCCATTTATTTTTCAGCATTCACAATGTTCAATCATTCATTATTTTATACACTGTTATATTTTTGTATACAAGTGTTATATTAATATTGGTCTGGTTAAGACCCATGATGACAAAGTGTTCATCAAATAATCGGCAACGAAAATTGGTAATGGCTATGAATCGAATTTCGGAAACTATTGAGAAAAACTCAATTATTCGTATAGGCATTTTTATATCGTTAATTTTATGCATACTTTCTATCGCCCTTGTTCATTCGGTAAGTTATATTTAAATCAAAATTCCGTAGAAAAAAATTACCAATTAATTATTTCACATCTCAGATGTTTTGTGATCCCGTGGCTCTGGAAAACGATGATGATTTGATGCATGAATTTTTACAAGGCGGACATCGTACGTTGTGCTTTAATTCATGGGTAAGATAGTCATATAGTCATAAGATAGTCAATAGATGTCATTTAATTGCGATTTATTTGATATTTCTGTATTCATTTTTGATAAATCCTAATAGAAGTTCGTTTTTGCATTGTTTTAGGCCATTACCGAATGCATTGTGCTCTGCATGGCCATGATCTTTACATTCAGCCACATTCCCTATTGTATTCAAATGGTTGCGGGATTTGCTATTACCACATATTATATGCTGATAATATTCATTGAATTCGATTTGGTATACGAATGCAGTTTGGTAACGAATAAAACAATACGAGCCGAAGCCAGTCACGTGTGGAATATTTTAACGGTCTTAATGATCTATCAACTGATGTCACGTCATGTAGTTTATGTTTCGAAAATTGAAGCTATGTTAGTATGTTTATGCATATATTTTCCTGACTATACCCTTTACCACGCTGTGGTACAAGGTATTATGTCTTTGTGTATATGTTTGTAACAGGCAAAAGGAAATGAGAATATCCATTCTGAGTCGATTTATACATGTACATTAGTAAGCAAAAGTACAGGGCTCATTTCTAATGATGAGATGAAATCTGACACTGACCAATTATTTGACCATTGACGAACCCGTATAAAATTGCTGCAAATCGGTTCAGATTTAAATATAGCTCCCATATATATTTTTGTCCGATTTCATGTAAATGGTGCACAAAACTCTCAAGGGTTGCCCTATTAAAACAAAATTTGGCAAATTTGCGTGACCCCACAATAAACATTGAAGGTCCTATAACAAAATATCGAGACCATCGTATCTCTCATCGAAAGACTTCCATTATTTGGCCAATGACGGACCAGTATAAAATTGCTGCAAATCGGTTCAGATTTAAATATAGCTCCCATATATATTTTTGTCCGATTTCATGTAAATGGTGCACAAAACTCTCAAGGGCTGCCCTATTAAAATAAAATTTGGCAAATTTGCGTGACCCCACCATAAATATTTAAGGTCTTAGGAGAAAATATCGACACAACTGTACATGTCATGCTCTTTCAGTCCATCCATTGTATATCTCATCGAAAGACTTCCATGGTAGTACGACTATAAAACAGAAAAGAAAACTCTTCCGATACCCCTCGACGGCTTCTTTATGATCGTTCCTGCTGCCAGGATGATCACAAGGCCCATATTTGTAATAAACGGATACTTTGTTCAAAATTATAAAAGTGTTTATTTACGAAAAAATGACCAATGCATTCTCTTTGTTATAAATATAACATGAAAATTTTCAGCTTTCGCCTTGAATTTAGGACCGACTAACTCGTGATTAACCACTGTTCACATGGAACCTTTCCCCACTTCGGTCCTTCAAGTTCTCATTGAAGTATTTGCTACTACCACCAAGATCTGTGCCAATGGCGGCTCCATACAGGCTTACGCCAAACATTTCCATGCACACCATTGTACACCTACTCTACTCACTAAAGTTTCAAAGTTTAAGTTCCAACCGAAATTCAATATAAACCATTTACTTTAGCGGTAATGTATAGGTATACAACTTAGGCGCCATCCATTTTAATAGATAGTTGCTTCGGCAGGTGAGTTGTTACACACCGCTTGGCGGATTATGACATCCACGTCCCCGTACTGCTGTTTTAAGCAATTAACGCCTTTCATTGTATCAGATGAATTGTCAATTTGGGCACCGTAACATTTGTTTCATCCCACAGCGCCAGTTCTGCTTACCAATAGTGTCCCACTGGTCACATTATATCATAACCACACCTTCATACCAAGAAAGGTGTGGTTCTTACCCATTTAAAGTTTGAGAATTTGTTAAGGCCGATTCGACCCTATGGCCTCTACTCCTTCGCTTTACCAGATATGGTTATTTTACATAATTTTTAAATGCACCAACTATCCTGAGGGAATCTTCGGAGGGAACCAGCTTCTAGGTGGTCGATTGGTCTTCAGAACTGTTTCGGTCTTCCATCAGGGTTTCCCCTGACTTCAACCAGATCAAGTATAGTTCACCATCTTTCGGGACACAGCATAGAGTGTGTTTTGTTTCATTGAAATCGGTTCAGATTTAGATGTAGCTCCCATGCAGTAAAGACACAAAATTAGGATATTTGAATGGCCTCTATTAGGATGCATCTATTGAATATACCCAAAGTGGTGAAGGGTATAATGTAGTCGGCACCGTTCGACTTAACTACTTTCCTTACAGGTTTTCGTTGTGTTTTATCGAAATCGTTAATTTTTTGTTGCAGTTCAAAATGGCGCTTAGAAAAGAAACAGGAAAATGCACGTGTAACGGAGGAATCAATACGAATATTATTGCATAACATTTTACCAACCCATGTAGGTAAGTAGGAAATACATCTTCAGGGCGCCTTTGCTGATTGGCGATACTCCACCTAAACCAATAGATAGGATCCTGATATACTGACAGTCCAGCCCAGTCTCTGATATACTGACAGTCCGGTTGAGTGTGCTAAGTTTCAAATAGCATTTGATAGATGTTCCAAAGGGGTGTTTGAAATTCCAACTATAGGTATCCGAAAAGTACTTAAATGTACTAGATTTAGTACAATTTCGTAGCAAGTAAACGGATAGAGCTAAAAACCTGAAATTTGGAATGCGAATCAATGTTTTGAAGTGTGTACTCATGTATACGAAAAGTACTAAACAGTACTAAATGTGGTACAATTTGAAGAAACTTAGATAAACGGATGGAGGTGGAATCCTGAAGTTAGAAATTACCGTCGGATTTTGGATTTGTTTACTTATTTGTACAAAGAGTACTAAATCGTACTATAATTGGGTACTAAATTTGGTACAATTTTAAAATTGGGTGAACCGATAAAGGTGGTATTCTAAAATTTGGAGTTAGGATCATTGTTTAGGGATAGGATTGGGGTTATATAGGAAATTTTGGAAATTTTCGTACTATTATGTACTAAGTGGTACCAAATTTGGATTTGGGTGAACCGATAGAGCTGGAAAACTGAAATTTGGAAATAAGATTATTGTTTGAGTGTAGGATTGGGAGTATGGATGTAGTTTTGGAAATATATACTTATGTGTACAAAATGGTAGGTACTAAATCCGATACAATTTGAATTTAGAGCTGGAATAGTAAAAATTTGAAAGAAACGATAGAGCTGGAATTCTGTAATTATACCCTACACAACTATGTTGTCAGGGTATTATAGCTTTGTGCAGCCCCAAAAGTTTGTAATTTGTAAACACGATACAGGCCACAGTTATGGACCAATCTTCACGAAATTTTGCATGTAGGATGGGTTCTGACCAATGAAGACCCCTATTGTTTTTGGAAAAGATCGGTTAATATTTAGGGGATGAAATGGACCAAAAACATTATTTTTGTCGGTTTTTCTGGTCGCTCCAGAGGCCGCAATTATGGCCCAAACACCGCGAATTTTTGCATGGAGAAGCGGATCGGGCCAGAGAATAAGCATGCATGTTTTGATAAAGATCGGTCAATATTTAGTGGGTCAAATGGACCCTGACTTTTGTGTGAAAAATGACAAAATTTGTATTCTATGACATATATATTTACTCCTGGAGGATGTAGACCCGAGGAGTTGATAGCATATCCAAGAGGGGTGGTTGGCCTTTAAATTGATACCAAATATAGTGATGTATCTACTCAGATGTGGGAGTCACAGTCAAATATTTACAGGTGCTTACGTATTCAGATATTATTTAGTAACTCATTACCAAATTTAAAGGGGGAATATCGCGCTGATGGCTTTAAAATTTTTCATGAAGTTCCAGTTATGGTCAAGAACAACGCCTACAATTTTCGGTGATGATCAGATTGAAATTTTGGGATGAAATGGACCGAAAACTTAATTTTTTGTGTGTTTTCGAGTCGAGTATAATCCGAAAATCACAACAAAAACCACAGTGAAGGTAATCTGGACAAGTAATTAGAAGGACTGTACTGAATATTCGAAAAAGTAAGGAAGAGGTGTTGTTGACCTCTAATCGGGCATGAGGGGGCAAATATCACGAAATATTACTCAGAATAAACATCCTTAGAAAGTTAGAGTTCGTGGTAGTTGTGTAGGGTATCGTATGGTCGGCCCCGTCCGACTATACTGCTCCGCTCACTGGTTTGGAGTTAGGATTCTTGTTGGGGAATAGGATTGGGATATGTAGGTATGTAGGATATTGGAAATTTGTACTTATGTGAAATTGTAATTACTGTTGGAGCGTGGAATTGAGTATGTAAATAATTTTGGAAATTCGTACTTATGTGTACTAAATTTTGTACAATTTGGATTTAGGGTAAATCGATAGATCGATAGGAATCTTGAAATTGGGAAATAAAATTCCTTTTGGATTGTATGATGTAGGTAGTGATGGGAATTTGCACTTATATATATTAAGTGGTACTCAATTTGGATTTAGGTGATCCGATAGAGCCTAAATTCAAATTGAGGTATTTGTAATTATAATTACTGTTCAAGTGTAGGATAGGGATATGGGTGCAGTCTTGGAAATTTTTTACTTATGTGTACTAATTAGAGCTGGAATCCTGATATTTGGAATTATGATTGGGGTATGTGGGAAGTTTTCGAAATTTTTAACCAGTGAGCGGAGCAGTATAGTCGGACGGGGCCGACCATATAATACCCTACACAACTTCCACGAAAATCTAACTTTGCGTTATTTGCACCTTCTTGACACTAAAGGTCAACAAATATTAGCAATATTCAGTAGACGAGGGCTGTACTTGTCCAGATTCTCTTTACCGTGGGTTATGTTTTGATGTTGGGCTTTCAATTGTGGCCTATGACAAGTCAAAAAAAAAAAAAAAAACACACACACACACACAAAAACACAAAAAGTTAAGTTTTCGGTCGACTTCACCCCAAAATTATTATCTGTCATCACCGAAAATTAAAGGCGTTGTCCTTGACCATAACTGGAATCTCATGGAAAATTTCAAAGCGATCAGCGCTATATTTCCGCCCTCTAGTGTGAAAGTCAGGGTTCATTTGACCCCCTGAATATTGACCGATCTTTATCAAAACAGGCAGGCTTATTCTTTGGCCCGATCCCCTTCTCCATGCAAAAATTAGCGGTGTTTGGGCCATAATTGCGGCCTCAGGAGCGACCAGAAAAACCGACAAAAATAAAGTTTTTGGTCCATTTCATCCCCTAAATATTAACCGATCTTTTCCAAAAACAATAGGGGTCTTCATTGGCCAGAACCCATTCTACATGCAAAATTTCGTGAAGATTGGTCCATAACTGTGGCCTGTATCGTGTTTACAAATTATAATGGACAGACGGACGGACACACACACATATCTAGATCTACTCAGCTAGTCGAGATATGACGATCGGTATACTTAAAGGTGGGTCTAAGACCAAAATTTCGCGGCGTTACAAACTTTTGGAGCTGCACAAAGCTATAATACCCTGACAACATAGTTGTGTAGGGTATAATTATGATTGTTAAGGTTGGTAGCTATCGAAATTTATATTAATGTGAGTTGGATTTTTTGGAAATAAGTATTACAAGAGTACAAAGGTTAATGAATGATATGGAGGTAGTTTTGGAAATACGTACTATAAGAGAACATAGGTACTAATTATGCATTGGTACCAATTGCGGCATTGGTTTTTAAATAATTCCCACATTCGCTGTCGAAGTAGCGGGCATATGCTAGTATGTTGTCCTGTTTTTACGATAACAAAGTTTGTCACTGTAATGTCCAATATTTTTAAAGTCTTTGAATTTGATATATTTACACGAAATTAATATTGAACTCTTTCAGTTAACATTTATTTATCAAATCGTTTGCGCAATGAGCCTTACTATGAACAACATGAATATGTTGCCGTGATGTTTGCCACAATAGTATATGCTCGGTCCGGTAGCATTGAGCTAAAGCTGCTCAATGAAATTATTTGTGATTTCGATGAAGTGGTAAGGAATACACATCATAATATAAATATAAAATAATAATAAATATTTTTTCAATTTCTTTTGTCTCCCCATTGCCAGCTTGGTTACTACAAAACTCCCATAAAGGTGGAGAAAATTAAAGTGGCCAACTGGTCATATATGGCTGCGTGCGGTTTCGATATTCCCTTTGGTGATACCGTAAATACAGGTGCGGGTCTACCATTTAAATCAATGTTCTTACTAAACAAGCGTCCATACACGACCTCATTGTCCGGCGGACATGTACCACGACCGAGTGGTAGTAAACAACGTATAGAGAATAAAGAGATGGCTGAAAATCGCAGTTCGGAAACTGATTCCGATGAAAATTCCAATAATTCGACATGGCAAAAAAGACAAGTTGTTATGACAATGACACAATTTGCTTTGGATCTGTTGGCAAGTATGCATTCATTCAATGTGGCAAATCAATTGGAGAGGGGCAGTGAAGAGCCGCCAATTATGTTGAGAATTGGTAAGTTTTGTTTTTGCCATTTCTTAACTTTAGTCCTACACCGCACTATGGAGAAGACATAAAACCCTAAATATCGGAGTTCGTTCGGTTAATTTTAAATGCTCCACCAAAAATGCTACGTCAGTCCGATCGAAGATTTTTTTATATGTTAACAGAATATTGTTAACATATTACAAAAATCTTTAGAGGCTTAGAGGTTACAATACGAATCTTATGATCATATCATGTATATATCCAAAGAGGTGTAGGGTATCTTCATTACGGGTTGAAAATTGAAAGTGTTCAGAATGAGTCTCTTCGTTTTTTTTCGTACGTAGTCAGTTATTTCATATTCAATTCCCACGTTTTGTAGGCATAAGCAGTGGCGAGGTTATGGCTGGCGTTGTTGGTTCTTCCCAAGCCCATTACGATATATGGGGCAATGCAGTAAATATGGCGTCTCGCATGGATTCAACCGGTGAAGTGGGTTGCATTCAAATTACCGAAGAAATTGCTGAAGCATTAAAATCATTTAATATCAATTGCAAATATCGTGGAATGACTGAGGTCAAAGGTCGTGGCAAAATACCAACATATTTTATAACGATAACGGACAAATTTGAATTTGAATATTTTAAAGACAATGAAAAACTTCATCAAGATTAATGCCAATAACATGTATGTATGTAATAAAAAAACACTAAACAGACATCGTTGAGTTCCGGGGACGAACTGAACTTTTTATACCCTTCACCATGAGGCGGACATTTAAAATACCTTAAATCTAGCAAAGTTTTTATAAAGAGTGGAGAAATGCAATGGTAAATTTCTGCCAGGAAAAACGAATACCAAAATACAGAAAATTGGGCTAGAACCTTAAGCATACCTAAATTGACGAATGAGATTTGTATGAGGGCTAGAAACATAGATTTAAATTGGGAAGTTGTTTACCAATAAAAGTTCCGGAATGCCAGCGATACCATTACGAAGTGGCTGTGGTTTTGCATTGTCATCTGTTGTAAAATTCATCTAGGGTCATCAAAATACCTGTAAGGGGTCGGATTTTTGTATGGGGGTATTTCCAAAAATCGACGATATTTAATATTTTTGGTAGGAACAATGGAAAATCAAAAATCAAAATATAGTATTAGAATTAAGTTGTTTCAAAATACGTCTGAAATCAAAATTAATGAACGTTAGGGTACATGGGTAATATACCTGCTCATGGACCTATATTTGTATTTATACCCAAAATAACTATGTTATAAGTTTGTAACACTTATTACGCATGGAATATTGGTAGAATTGAATTCGTCCATTATAATTTGTAATTAAAACCAGTAAGGAAAGTAGTTATGGTATATTGTACCCTTCACCTTCTACATGTGATCCTAACAATTTTGAACGAATTTAAATATGTGATCTTTATCTATAACTGAACCGACTAACATCAATCACTACACATGACTTTCTGCAACCTATTCTAAATTCCATTTCATTCGGGCAAATTTAGAGTCGTTTTGCGTATAATACGACAATGGTATGTAAATCGATTTATAACACAATTGATACACGCTATTCGACCGCACGGTACAAAATCTATTCTCAATCATACACCCGTTCGCAAAATCGCAATAACCTCATTCTAGTCTCAATTTGATACGTTGTGCTAAATTTCAAGTCAATCGAACAAACATTAAGAGATTGGTGCACCATTTACATTAAAATCGGAAAAAAATTGGAACCGATTACTACAAAATTTGGCAAACGTTAGGAAATATAAATTTCTGTACGTTGTGCAAAATTCTGTAGCAAACGGCTGAAACTAAATCTAGGAGCTGTACCTAAACTGAATCGATTTCAAGAAAACTTGCCACACGTTATGTTGTAGTATCTTCAGTACGTTGTGCAAAATTTTGTGCCAATCGGAACCACCTGGGGAGTTTGGTTAGAATTTATATCTAACTTCTAGGTTATACTAACTTCAGTACGTTGTGTCAATTTTGTGTAAAATCGGACGAAAATATATATGTAGAAGCTATATCTAAATCTGAACCGATTTCAACAAGACTTGTCAGAGATTAATTTATATTAACTACTACTGTTAATTTATATTAACTACTATTGTGCAAAATTGCGTGGCAATGGGACAAACTTTAGATTTTCAGTGCACACTTTGCATAATCTGAACCGAAACTTGGCACACATCATTGTGCATATAGAAAGATATATAGAGACTTTGATACACCATTCACATTAATCATTAGGAAATATTTATGGGAGATATCTTTATCTCTGCCCCGATTTTCACGAGACATAATACACAACATTCTAAATCTAATTCAGTACACTATGCCAAATTTCATGCAAATCGAATGATATATAGGGACTTTGGTGCATCATTTACCTTAAATCGGACGAAAATATATATATATATATATATATATCCAAATCTGAACCGATTTTCAGGAAACTTGACACACATCATTCTAGACCTAATTCATTACGCTTTGCCAAATTTCGTGCAAATCGAAGGATATATAGGGACTTTGTTGCACTATTTACCTTAAATCGAATGCAAATATATATGGGAGCTATATCTAAATCTGGACCGATTTTCACGAAACTTAGCACACATAATTCTAGACTAAATTCAGTACGCTGTGCCAAATTTCGTGCAAATCGAAAGATACACAGGGACTTTGGTACACTATCTACTTTAAATCGGACGAAAATATATATTGGACCTATATCCAAATCTGAACCGATTTTCAGGAAACTTGACACACATCATTCTAGACCTAATTCATTACGCTGTACCAAATCGAAGGATATATAGGGACTTTGTTGCACTATTTACCTAAAATCGGATGAAAATATATATGGGAGCTATATCTAAATCTGGACCGATTTTAGGGAAACTGAACACATGTTATTCTAGACCTAATTCATTACGCTACACCAAATTTCGTGCAAATGTATGTGATGTATAGGGACTTTGGAACGCCATTTTCTTTAAATCGGGCGAACATATATATGGGAGCTATATCTAAATCTGTACCGATTTTCACGAAATTTAGCACACATCATTCTAGGCTAAATTCAGTACGCTGTACCAAATTTCGTACATTAAATCGGACGAAAATATATATGGGAGCTATATCTAAATGTGAACCGATTTTTCCCAATTTTAATAGGGTTCGTCGTTGGGCCAAATAAATGAGCTATGACAAATTTCACCCAAATCGAATTATAAATGTGACCTGTACTTCGTTTACAATTTAACATCAACAGACGGACCAACGGACATGCAAAAATCGACTTAAAAAGTAATTTTATGCATATTCTCAAAAGGAACCATGGGTCTATCTCGCTTCCTTGTGCCTCTTACAAACGTAGGCACAAATACATAATACCCTGTACCAATGTGTGGTAGTTCGTATAAGGTATATAAATATAGGGTCAATATTGATTGTTTTCGGTACGAAGATTTTCCAATTTGCAGCAACATACCAACTGTTTTTTATAACTACCCAACCAAACTCACCTTAGCCAATGTGATTGGAAAACTTGTTCAAATTTCGTAAAATAATGATAAAGGGTTTTTTTTCAAAGGGGAAACTTTTTTTGATCAATAATCGTCAGAGACACCATATGGGGAAATTTTTTTCTGATCAAGAACTGTCAGAGACCCCATATGGTGTATAGACCGTTGAGTATTTCGTGGTGATGCAAACGATATGACAAATTTAAAATACCCTCTACCGTATGGTGGATGGAATGAAAATGCCTTGATAACTTGACATGATACTTCGTGAACTCTGTTGATAAATTTTGTTATCACATGGTCCATATATTTGTTTATTACATGTGTCTTTACATTTTTACAGTACAGTACGGAAAACTTGATTTACTATAATCAGCGATTTCTTTCATAATCATTTGAATTGTTAACTGTACTACACTCAAATGAAATTTCGAAATTACGGAGAGTTTGTATGATCCAAGACAAACACCATAAAAGTCGTAAAATTGTGGTACTGTATAAACGAAATATTTATTGGTATTGCTAATATTGAAATAAAGATGGCGCTTAGCAAATATTTTTCCATTTTTTTAAACCCTTGTGGTCCAAAGTTGCGATTTTGATACAAACATGTTCAATAAGTGAACGTACATCGATTTCGTAAAAAATCTGCAATTATGTTTTCCGTTGTTATTGTTTTGTAGTGAAGGGTAGGGTCAATAATGGTATTGGACTGTTTTCAGGATGCGAGTAATAGTAAATCCGTAGGTAATAGAAAATAATGGAAATCGGTTCAGATTTATATATAGCTCTCATAATATATAAATCTGAACCGATTTCAGCAAAACTTTACAGATATCTAAATCTGAACAGATTTCCACAAAATTTCGTGTACATCAATATGGACATATTATAATACGCTGAAAATAATGGGTTTATTGTCGATTACTAGCAAAATTTAGATATTAAAAAAAATCAAAAATTTGCTTTAGTTTTGACCGGGCAGAAACTGAGTCAACTTAGTTTTCCATGCAGAATTTTTCTATTTTCAAATTAACTAAAACTTCATTTTCGAAACAGTTACTTCACTTGGTTTAGTTCTGGCCACCTGTATATATACAATAAAATCCCGAAAATTCGTAATCGTGCTTATTCATAGTCCACTTTTATTCGTAACATTATTCACGTTCTTTAAAAAAATCGCGATAATTCGTAAAAATCCATACATTTGCCAAAATTTTTCGAATTTTTATGTAGCGGGGGCGCAGGATTCTTTAGAGAAAAAATGGGTCTCTGGTATTCATCGTTCGGCATCAACGGTAAACCATTGACTAGTTATCCGATAGCATGTCAATGATCCGATTGCATGTAAAGGAGCTATACCTAAATCAGATCCGATTTTATTTCGAATACGCCTATCTGTACAATATATGCCCATCTGGACTTGGACTTAAGTCTGTACGTTGTGCAAAATTTTGTTTGAATCTGTCAATTATTGGGAGTTTGGTGCACCATTTACCAAAAATTGGACACATGGAAGCTATATCTAAATCTGAACCGATTTCCACAAAACTTCGTATACATCAATATGGACCTATTTCAATACGCTTTGCATTTTGTTTTTGAATCAACCGGACAATCTTTTACATAAAATCGGATGAAACTATATATGAGAGCTATATATAAATCTGAACCGATTTCAGCAAAACTTTACAGATATCTAAATCTGAACAGATTTCCACAAAATTTCGTGTACATCAATATGGACATATTATAATACGCTGTGCAAAATTTTGTATCAATCGGATAACCCTAAAGAGTTCAGTGCACCATTTACCAAAAATCGGACGAAACTATATAGGAGCTATATATAAATCTGAACCGATTTCCACAAAACTTCGTATACATCAATATGGACCTAATTCAGTACGCTGTACAAAATATTGGTTCAATCGGACAAATATTGGATTTTTGGTGCATCATTTAGATAAAATCGGACGAAAATATATATGGGAGCTATATCTAAATCTGCACCGACTTTTCCAAATTCAATGGGGTTCGTCCTTGGGCCAAATAAGTGCGCTGTGCCAAATCTCTTCTAAATCGATTCACAAAAATACATGGACAGACGGACTTGACT